ATTATTCCAGTTACTATCTGATAAATTAGTTATAGTTGTCATACACGCGATAAACAACCAACTCTTCCTCAATTTGTCGATAGCCAAGGTACGACCGTTGACTATTTCTCTAATCAGGAAATAACCCTAGGTACGACCATAGAAGTTCAATTCCCTAATTGCATGAATAATTAGAAGAGCCTAATTCTAACCAATCAACACGCTACGAGGGTCTCTTTAAGTTAGCCTGTCTATCTTCCTGACACAAACCCAATCATGTCAGTTGCCACCAGTTTAGAATAATTAAACAATCACATATTTAACTACCCTAATTGGCTTCAGATTATTGAATTAATCTAGAATTCGGGTCCTGGATAATCGAATAATAAAACAACCATATAAACATAAAGCAGAAGATAGACGAATACCAGTGAATAATGGAAATAAATAAAAACTAATTCGATCTCACAAATTTAGTAGAACCAAATCCTCCGTTGTTTCTCAACTAGACGAAGGGATTTAATTCATCTTCATGGAGGAAATCCCATGCAAAAGTGCAGAAGTAATTATTGAAAACAAGCTATGTCTTCGTCCCCCCTAGAAGAAAACGGCAAAATTATATATAAAGTAATGAATACGAAGGAACTAGCTAGAAGCAAAAACAAAACGAAGCTCTCCTATTCTAAAACAAAAACTACTTCTTGTCTCGTGGTCCCCACGAATAAGGAACAAGCCACAAAGACTAATGCCTTTCTTCTCCTCTGTACGTTTGTTTCCTTAAAGCCAAAAGAAATGACTCAATGCTATCTATCTAGTGGTCCCCATTGAATTGAGAGTCCAAAGGCCAAAGAATTGGAGCTCTGCGAAGTCCTTGATATTAGTTTCCTCTTCATAGGAAAACTTCTAATCAGCAAAAAAGATGCAATCCGTCTGTGGCACCTTGTGGGCCCAGGTTTGTGAAGCTCTTTGAAGTCTTCACGTGTGGAGCAATTTTCCTCAACAGGTCCTCATTTTTAGTATATTTCAGTTCAACTTCCCTGTAGATAGGTTCAAATACCAAATATAAGTATATATTAACAATTTAAACAATATTTGGCAAGGACAAAGGGGGAAATTAACAATAAAATTACTAACAATTAGCACCCTATCAATCCCCTATAAATTACTCATTATTTAATCATTTTTTATTTTATCTTGAAACCATAGTTCACTAATTCCCATCCCCTATAAATTACTCACTATTCTAATCATGTTTTATTTTATCTTGAAACCATGGGCCTGTTTGGAACCTGAATTTTTTGGGAGTTTGTCTAAAACTTTACTGTAGTGCACTGTAGAAGTTTTTAAAAAATTTTTGTAGAAGTTTTTGTAAGGTAAAAAATTTTTTTATAGAAGTTTTTGTAATGTGAAAAAATTTGTAGAAGTTTTGGTAGGGTGAATTTTTTGTTCCTTTTCTTTTTTTCTTTTTCTCTTTCTCTTTCTTTTTCTTTTTCTTTCTTTCATTTTTCTTCTTCTTCTTCTTCTTCTTCTTCCCCTTACCCGTTACCTCTGCCTCCCACCTCCGCTCCTCTGCTAGCACCACCTCTTTTTTTTTTTTTTTTTCTCCTCTCCCCCCTCCCTCTCCCTCCCCCCGCCACCCCTTTCCTCCCCTCTCCCCACCACCCCCTCCTACTCCCTTCCCCGTTCCCCCCTCTGCCCGCCACACCCCTTGGGCCGCCACCCCTCCCTACTCCCTCCCCCGCCACCTCCCTATGCCCACCATCCCTTTCCTCCCTCTCTCCCCAACTCCCTCTGCCCTTCCCCCTCTGCCCGCCACTCCTCTCCCCACCCCTCAGCCCTTCCCCCTCAGCCCTGCAACTCTTTCTCCCCGCCCACCCCCTCAGCCCCTTCCCCCTCTGCCCCCGCCACTCCTCTCCCCCCGGACGATTGTGCCTGCAGTTAGGATGAGGATAAAGCACGAGGCGCAGATGGAGCTATCAAATGGGGTGAAATTGGAAGGGGCGACGTTGGTTGTTGTGAGGCCCATAAATGCTAGTGGATGTGGTGGTCGCGAAGGAGGGAGTGAGACGGAGGAGCAAAGCGGGGATGTGGGATTGGCGATGGGGGCGTTCAGAGGCGATGGAGTTTATGGGGAGGCTGTTGAGAGGTTGCTCAAATGCAGGTGGTGGGTTCGGTGGGGAGGAAGAAGAAAGAAGGAGAAGGGATTTTTTTTTTTTTTTTTTGTGTTTTGGATATTTTAAGTGTGTAGATAAAAAACTTTGAGAAGTTTTTTGGGGTTCCTGTAGCAAAAGTTGTTAAAAAACTAGTAGGTAAAAAACTTAGGCAAAAAACTAGCTTCCAAACAGGCCCCATAATTCACGGGGAAAATTACGACACAGGTGTCTATTCCCGCTATGCAGGCCTTGACCCTTAGGACTGGTTTACAGCTTTTGGGCCTCTCGGCAAAAGCAACACATCTAAGAAAGAGAGCGATCAATGAGTAGTTAAGTTTCTAATCTAATTGTTCTTGTGTCATTTTTTTTCCTCCTTTTCCTTTTGTTCTGGTCTGTTGAGTATGGTACAACTAGAGTTAGGTTTGAAATAATACACATTCCAGTTCCGCAGCTTTCTCTCTATGTTCATCTTTGGCTCTTATCCTCTTTTTCCCTAACACTAGGCTTAACCCAAAAAATCGGAAACAATTTCTATCAAAATCTTTCTCTGAAACCCTTATCCTCCATTCTCTTTGTCGCTTTTAACAAAATGCATTATTTCACTTCTCTCACTCAGAGGAAATGGTTTGAGCCAGAAATATTTGCCTCTGCTTTGCCTCTCTCACTGTCATTAGAGGTGTCAAAATGGGTGACTTGGGCGGGTTTGGGTTGGGTAAAATGGGTAATGGGTATAAGTGAGTCAACTCATTTATACCCATTTAATTAGATGGGTATAAATGGGTAAGTCAAAAAATGAATTGGGTAACCCAATTACCCATTTATAACTCATTTATTTTAACTTTTTGCAAACTCATTTAAATTCATTTTTGCAAACTAAGTTATCAATTTATACCACTCTTTGTACCCATCATTAGTTTTAAATATTTACTTATAATGCTCAATAAACTTAATTACCAATTTTTTTTATTTATACTCTATGTCACAAAATTACTTATTATTTAATAATTGAATAATACGAATATAAAAATTTGAATTAAGTACTATAAAAATTAATATCAAAACTTAATCCAAAAATTTTGAACCCCTAACATTTTTTTCATATATAAATTTAAAATTTCATTTTATAAAGATAAGAAAATAGGCTAAAATTTATCATAAATTGGTAATGCTAAAAAATGAGCAAGTTAACAAACTAAGAAAAAATAAAATAATAAGATAAAACCAACAAATAATAATAATAATAATAATAATAATGTTAACATTATGACAAAATGAAAAATTTGAAAAAAAAGGTAGGGAAAAAGAAAAGACTTAGGGGGAAGAGAATTTTAAATGGGTTAATTGGGTTTGATGGGTTACCCAATAATACCCATTTAATAAATGGGTATTATTGGGTAACCCATTTATACCCATATACAAAAATTTAAGATACCCATACCCATCTATTCATGGACGGGTATGGGTAAATCTAGTTAAGTGGGTTGATTTGCCACCTCTAACTGTCGTCACCTTCCTATTCTAGTGCAGTCAGCTCCATTTCAGCTCACAAAAATTAACCATTTCTGCTTTCTGAAGAAGCCCTTTTAACACTTCACTATTTCCCTCTAAGAGAATAAAGTAAACAATGCATTCACTTCCTAATGTCCAAACCCCATACAAATCATTCCCAGCATCACACAACGGCAAAACAGAACTACACATTTCAATGACCAATAGCAGGAAGCAAGATATACTATACTTACAGAGCCAGGGGAGTAACCAGAGAGTACATCCTGAAGAGAAGATTCTGGTTTTCGCATGAGAAGGCGCATAAAAGGATCACATGACAGGAATAGATTCTTAACCAACACCCCATTATTTGAGCTTTCTGGGACTGTCAAGCTTGTGGTGGCGTGCGTCCTGATGTTGAAATCAGACTCCCCTGGGAGTCCAGTTACATAGACTTTCAACATCACCTGCTTTTTCTTCACCACCTCTGCTTCTTGTGCCATTGCATCACTATCAATCACTATGGTAGATAGCAGAAAATTTTGCAATTTTTTCTGTGAATGCCTGTTAGATGGAGTGAGGGAACTTTTGAAACATATATTTGCTGGCTTTTGCAGGAGAGGATGAATTAAGCTATGGATGTAAGATATGACGTCTGTCCAATAACCAAACAAGCGTGAAAGAAAGCTGAACAAATGGCTGCATATCTCACTTATGCAAGAAATTGTTCAATTGAATGATTACATAAACTGCTATAGGATTCCTTTATCAGATGAGATACTAAGACAAAATAAAAAGGGATCCCTGGTTGCAGAATTTGGTTTTTATAGTGCTAAAAGCCAACGAAATTTGAGAAACAAACGTTCAAAATGGCAAAATCGATACTCTTTATAATGAACTGCTTAAGCAACGAAGGTGTGATCTGTTATTTTTAGTTGGCAATATGGGTATAATGTAATCAGATGGTGAAGATATAATTTAGTGATTGAAAGGAGTAACCAACTCAGTTAGATGAATTTACGTTTCAGAAGAAGTTTGAACCTTCGGCCTAGTCTTCATAACGAATTTTAAGAGGCCCTTCCCAACCAGCTCAACTAGATGAATATATGTTTATTGTTTTTCATTACTTTTTAGAGACTATAGGTTTCCGTTAATCCTTATCTTCCAGAGAAAAGGAGTTCGGCATGGCAAATAGAAAACCTACCGATAAGTGCCATAGCAGCCAACAAAAGAAAAGCCAAAAGAGATTTCCCATGATGATCAAGATACGAGCTTCAGCCTTTCAATTAGAAAACAATTTTTCCCCATTGCTAGAAACTTAATTTATAATCTAGGAAACTAAAAAATCAATCTTGAAAGCACAATTCAAAGATGCACAAGTGTTCTGATAGGTAAGCTTATTTATTCATCTGAAACGAGAAACAGAAAATATCTGCGTAGATTCTGATGGCAACAAATCGAAATCAGGATTTACTCATCCTTGACTTCAACTTGGCACTGTATTATCTGGCCTGATAAAGTTCACAAAGAACTCCAGGTGCACAAACGCATGAGAGCTCAAACTAGTGGAATTAAATTGCTAATAGCCTGTAGACTGAGGTATATACTCTATGTACAAAGGGATGGTCAAAGGAACCTGAGATCATTCACGAGCAACCAAAACAACCTGTTTCCCGACATTGCGACCACTAAACAGACCAACAAGGGCAGCAGGACCATTTTCAAGGCCTTCTGCAATGTCTTCTACGTAGGTGATCTTTTTTGCTCGGATTTGAGGGAGTACAAGGTCCAAAAACTTCGGATAGAGGTGAAGGTAATCAAACACAGCAAATCCCTCCACTCTAAGACGCTTGAAAAGAATAGAAGCCACATTATATAGTCCTTCAGGTTTCTCTAGGTTGTATTGCGAGATCAGTCCACACACAGCAATTCGTCCATGCATTCTCATGTTGAGAAGCACAGCATCCAACATCTTTCCCCCAACATTTTCAAAGTAAATATCAATTCCTTCAGGGAAGTACCTGCAAAAGAAATTCAATCAATCAAGTTATATCAATGCTTACTGCACTCTAACTAGGCCATTGCGACCTCAAGTTAAATTGATGTTTCTATGCATAACAATTAAAAAGTTAAGGCAATCATGACAGTCACTGGACACAATGGAAGAAAGAGGAACAAGTATTGCTTTTGTAAACAAGTAATGTCAATCAAACCTAAAAGTTTTCATTATTTAGGTATTTCTGTTTCTATTGTATTACTGTCCATGGATAGAAAATTGAAGGGCAACATTCAAAGTCATTCCACAAAGGGGCACTGGAAAAATAAAATGTGCTTCTGACAGCCACTTGGTATAAACTTGGACAAGACTGGAAAGCAGCCTTCATAGTTATCCTGTCTTTATTTCTGGTTCTTGTTAATTTTAATCTTTTCTTTTTGTTTGGGGTGTTCCTCTGCTCCTCATTCCAAATGAACCATAGGCCTCTTGTATATGCAGTAGAAAAAGTTTGGTTCAGCATATTGTTAATGCTGCTTAGCAAACAGAAAACAGGTATTGTAGGTGGCATTCTGCAGCTGTTGCTTTAAGTTCTCCCAAATCAGTATGATCTGTAGTCAGACTATTATGAGTAAGGTCAGTAATTTGACAGGACAAGCTGGTTTGGCCTGCTCTAGCCAACCACTAAGAGTACAGTTAGGACAGCAGCAGTTGATGAACGCTACATGTGTTGATCTGCTACATGATCTAGTCAGAAACCTGATCAGGCTAATAATTCCATCTTGTTTCATTTCAGACAAGAGTGCCTGACTGATCTAGTTCTTTTGCTTGCTTCTAAATTCTGAGGACACCATGACAATCTTTATGTTCTTTGTCATCTCTTTTACATCCAATTTTTACTGTCATAGCTCACAAAACCTGGAAACTTTAAATGTTCTTTGTGATTTCCCTACTAAAAATTTGGTCAGATACCTCAGAGATGTCGAACATATATGGCACATCTTATAGTTGGAATGCAAGATGTCATTACAACTGAGGAGAACAAGTTTGAAAGATTGGCTACACAAGTTGATTTTGGCAATTAGTGCCTCTAGCTATGGCAGGATAGAAATAATAGATTTTTTAATACGAAAAAGAAATCACCCAATTAGGTACTTGGAAAGATTTCTAGTTTAAAGGCAAACAAGTTACATGACATGGATACCAGAATACTGGATGCTTGTGGAAAGGGGAACCTATCACCAAATTGGGGCTTTTTACAAGAAACTTTGGTTGCATAGATTCTGTTCTTTAAGCAAGAAGCTACAGGGTCTTTTTGAATATGGGACTCCACTTACCCCATAGATGATTCCAATTACAGAGTCTTTAACCATGTACTTTATTTGCTTTATCCCTTAACAGAACGCAAGATTTTACAAGAGAAAGACAAGAGAAAACCTTCATGAAAGTCTAATATTAGCTTTGCTATGATTTTAGTCACAATCTTTCGCAAGCAGAAGAAGTTGTGAGGCTAAATGATCTCAAACTATGGTTGTGCCTCATCAAAAAGTGGGTGCATTGAAGATAATTATTGCACACGAATTTCCTAGAGTGCTCTTAAGGTAAAGCATTGTAAAGCTGCCACTGGTATAAAAAGTATGTAATTAACAGTTCATTCTCAGAAGCTTTAAACACATAATTAGAATATGTTAATGTTAGGCATACCTTTTCAAAGCCGCATCCAAGCCCTGCTCCTCTTTATAATTGAAAGCATCATCAAATCCCAACTTATTCTTCAGAAGATCAACCTTGTCAACATAAATTTAAAGCGGAAGTTAGAACACATATATGAATCAAAAATATTATTAGCTGGACAAAGACAAATACAAGGTCCAACTGTAGAGCGTGGAATAAGACCAATATCAGGATGAAAAGTTACTCAAAATCAACAACCGGGTCTTGAGTAATGCTTGAGATGCTAAATGCAATTTCGACCGAGAATGAAGCCAGTGGCCAAACATGAAAACTCAGAAGCACATGACCATCTGCCCTGACATGGATGACAAGAAATTCTGGAATTTGCAATCAAAATTCAAAGGCAGCTTTTAATTACATGAAATTCTAATTATATGAAGACTACGTAGCAGGTTGCAGAGTCAGACACAACATCAGGTCAAAAAGGTAAAACTTGCACGAAATATTTAACTTACTCTGCAGTACAGAACCATGTGTACACTTGGGTTATCCAAAGAAACAACTGTCAGAAATGGTCCTAAGATAGAGGTGGTCTAATGTACCTTGTAGTCTGTACAACAAACAAAAAAGCAACATTCAACTTGAAAGAAATAAGAAGTTATAGACGTGATATACCTTTTCTCTACTTCCAGCACTTCCTACTACATGGCAGCCAGTCAATTTTGCAAATTGTCCAACAAGCTGGCCAACAGCACCAGATGCTGCAGATACAAATACTTTTTCTCCCTTCTTTGGATTGCAAACCTCAAAGAGTCCACCATAAGCGGTCAAACCGGGCATACCTTCAAAAGACATAGTGTTAATATCAATGAAAAAAATGCTAAAGGATTATGTGATGCTATTTGTTTTGGGTTCCTTTAGTGCTACAGGTGATTAGCTGTCTTTTAAGAAAAACACTAGTTCTTGTAATAATGAAAGTCTTTTATGAAGAACTAAAGACCCTGGAAAGTTAACATCCTATCATTTGCCTGTATTGTTGATTGAACCGTATCAAAGCTGGTTTGTCATGCACAAATGCAGTCCTAAGATGGGGTTTAAAATAACCAAGGGATGCATATATCCTTCCTTTGAAAAGGAAAAATAATAGCCATCCCAATTATGGGATGAAACTAAAGGAGCCACGGGCTAGAGGGTGGTTTCAGGACATGGGCGGGGAAAGATTTTAGAGTTATCCAGGTACTGCTTTTCATGGAGATATATCTTTAAATTCCTCAAGGGATTCCTAAAAACCAAAATTTCAATTAACATGTCTTCATATCTCATGTCCTATCTTTTGGTCGAGAAAACTTTATTTGTCTTTCAAATTTAGATTGATACTTGTACAACTAGTAGTCGCACGTCTTCATTATCTTAGCAAACTCAAAAAAGTGTGAGCTGAACCACAAATGTCAAGTAGAGAAGGTTCAGTACCCTCTTTCACTTTTCCTAGGGTAAACATTATCAGGGCATCACTGAAATTTGAAGTCCAGAGAACTTGGAGAGCAGAAAATTCAGTGGCTGACCTTGAAAGACGATGAAATGCTACCACTAGTGCAAAAACACATCCAAAAGAAGAACATCATGGGAAAACGCACAACCACATAATATGCATGAAACACAATAGCACCAGATGACCACACACTGGAAAATGAAATTTCATGAAACTGAAAAAGAAATGCACAAGTTCACAAGCATCGATTTTGCATGCACAGAAAAAGTCTCCTGAAAACATAGTTACCAAGTTTTAGTTCTCAAGGTTATGCAAATCAAATTTGGATTATTCTATAATTTTCAGCTACATCTCCGATAGCAAAATGACATCACTCAGCAAGTGTGGAGCTCACCTAGAAGTCCAGTGTAATGGGAAAGGGGTACATCTGTATGCTCAATCTTGAAAAGAGAATCAGGTTCTGCTATGAGACTGTACTCCTCCCATCCAGTTATACCCCACACCAAGTCACCCTTCTCGAACTTTGGATGCCTTGAATCCACTACTTTAGCTACCCCAAATCCATTTATTGTCTGCAAATTATCACCATTTCAGTAAAACAGATACAAACATAAAATTTCAGATACACCAGTTGTCAAAAATGCAACAAAAAATCATTCTATTCAATGCTCTACGATAAATATCAGCCGACAGATCTGATGGTGAGGAATAACAAATTGTGGTCAAATGAGAAGCTTCCACAGAGGTTTACAAAAGAAAAAGATGTTTTATTACCTTAATTTTCATTTATTCTAACATCTTGAACTTCATTTTTTTTTTTTTTTGGCAAGATAAGTTTGAGCATATTCCTAGGAGTTTAGATTCTCAATTGACATGTAAATTGTCATCAAACTTAGAAAATTGAATAATGTTCCTCAATGACGAAAGATAAACAAAATCATAATTTATTGGAAGGTCGATTTGGCCAAGAAAAATGCATGTACTGCAGTTAGTTACTAACAAATTCAGGAAAAGTGCTAGACCCTATTGAAAGGTTTCCCTCCATCAGAAACTTTTTAACCTTACCCTGATTTCTGAAGAAGCCCTTTTAGCTATTAACCAATTACCTCTAACAGAAGACAATGAACGATGCATTCAACTTCCACGCCACAATTATTGTCTACATCGAGAGATTATGATAGCATAACAATAACATAGTATTACAAACTTCAAACACTGACAGCAGGAAGGAAAACTATACTTACAGAGCCAAGGGAGAAACGAGAGAATTGCGCCTCAAGAGAAGAATCTGATTTTTGCAGGAGAAAGCTCAGGTAAGGATCACAAGACAAGTAGAAATTCTTAACCAATACCCCTTTACTGGAGCTTTCTGGGACTTTCAAGCTCATGGTGCTGTCTGTTTTGATGATGAAATCAGAGTCTTTTACGAATCCAGTTGCATAGTTTTTCAACACCACCTGCTTGTTCTTCACTACCTCTGCTTCTTCTGCCATTGCAGCACTTTGGTTCAGCATAGACCTGGCACTTTGGAGCAGCAAAGTCTGTCTAGCTTTTTCTGGCTCTTATAGGAGAACACAGAAGTACAGAACAAAGGTCTTGATGTAAGATATGACGTCTTTAAAAAGCCGTGTCAAGAACGGGTGCATGAGAAAGCAGGATGACAAACGGTTGCAGGTCTCAATTTACCTGCAATTACTTCAATTCCACGACAACCAATTGTCAATTAGTAAAACTTATCTTCTTATTCTGTACATTTTCTGAAAAGATATTTGTTTTGGGTGGACGAGCTCGATTAAGCTAGATTGAACTCGATTAGGATTGATCAGACACAATCATAAGATTGGTCAATCAGGCTTTGTTGAACTCAATTAGATTTGATGAGACACGAGCCCAAGTACGAGTTAGAACTTAAATTCAATTAAAAATTCAACGAACTCAAACTCAATTATTATAAGTTGAGCTCAAATTTCGACTCAACTCAAATGTATTTCTATTTTTTGAACGTGAATGATATTCACTATTACTTTAATCATCATCTGTTAGTATCTTTTTTGGAATGTGAGTGATATTCACTCTAAAAATTGTTGGTCATTAACAGGGTATTGTGGTAATTTCACCAATGCCCATTTGTAACATTTTTAATTAATTTCAAAATATATTATTAAAAAATTCATTAGTGGATAGAAATATATATTTTTCCGTTCCAATACTATCTTTTTCTTGTAAATCATTTCCGTTCCATAACAAATCTAATTAATCCCTTAGCTTTTGAAAACTCGGTTGATATAAGTTTTTGATTAGGAATTACAAGGCGTTAATAAGGTTGAAAGACTTATTAATAATTTTCGTGTTATTAGTCTACACGAGAAATATAATAAAATTTTAAGTAGAAAATCCAAAAGTTATTTGAGAATTTTACAATGACGAACGTAACATTTCACACTTTAAAAGCACCTCAAATAAGTTTCTAAATATATAGTTAAGAATTTAAATTGTCCAAGCCATTGATATAGACAAAAAAAATAGAAAATTCAAAAAGCTTGCACATAATTCATAAATCTTTAAATTCATCCACAAGCACCTTTTGAATTAAAAAATAAATTTTCTCATTGACAAAACCTCAAATGAGTTTGTAAACATGAACATTTTATCTTTTTTGCTAGTTTTCAAGCCATCAACCTAAACAATAAATTTTAAAAGAATTAAAAACTATTTGAATTTGAAAAACTCCTCAAATTGACCAAAAACACTTCACAATAAAGGAATAATCTTTTTTTTTTGTCTTGAAAACACTTTGAATATATTCTTAAAACCAATTTTTTTATGTCAAAATACCAACTATTATATTGTGTTTATCAAAATTACACCTTTATACAATTTGTCTTCATTTTCAACTTTTATTACATACTTCAAGCTTTGAAAAACAAATGAGTTTTTTTAAATAATACATCTTGAAATGGGTTGACAGTGTTACGAAAAGTTAAACGTAAGGGATGCAAGTGATATTTTTCAAAATTAAGAGGGTGCTAAGTGAAATTGATAAAAAAAACTCAAGGGATGTTTCTAAAATTATCCCCTTCTTAAAACTTATATGTTGTACGTACATGTACAGGTTTATTATTTGTTGTTGTACTTTAAACTTTAGATCGAAATAATTGTTGATTTTTATAATTTAAGCTATAGTTGAATATTTGCCAAAGTTTGTCCTTCTATCCCAATTTGTTGTAAAATTTTTGTAGAAGAAAATTGTGAATAAACACTCGACGGTCCCCACCCACTGGGGTTTAGCGTAAGATAAGATCATGAATTTAGCCTCGAAATTCGACTCAAGTCATGGCTTAGAGTACCACGGCAGAAAGATATAGGGACTAATAACACTTTGCCCCCTAAACTTTAGAAATAATCACATTTTATTATCCTCAACTGTAAAAATATATGTTTAACTCTCGATAACGACTAGTCAAAAAATAAAAATATCAAAAAAAAAGTGATTGCAATGACATTATCTATAATTACCTGTTATTTGCCTCTCATTGTTAAAGGATATACATCCCTTTTATATTGTCAACTATGCAAAAATATCAAACTAATAACATTTTTTTAAAAAAATTTTACATTTAGTTTGGGGTTAACAAAAATTTGCCCTTCTGAAAGTATAGAGTAGTCACAGTTTGCCACCCTAAGTTTTAAATATATACATTTTGCCCCCCTCATTTGTCAGGTTAGAGATAATGTAGTAAAAAAAAAAATAATAAGACTTCTTTGAGCAATATATAATGAATTTTAAATTTATCCAAAATACAATTCAACTAGTTTGCAAAAACCAGCAAATGGAATTTCGCAAAGTTATCTTAGAAATAGTTCTGGTTTGGCTAAATATTTTTTTATCCCGGCTGTAATCAATTGCCCTTCAAATTTGTTTGTACTGTCCAATGTTGATCCACAACAACTATTAGTTGCATGTCTCTTACCATTATGAAGGAAATTTCTTTCTTGAATTGGTTAATCATTTTCGTATTTTTCTCAATCATTTTAAGAGTCCCCAAATTTAGATTTGATTTAGAATTTTTTTCGTAACTTGTAAAATTAATTAATCGATTACCAAGCAGTAAAGAGGGCTTTTTTTTTTCTATTTTTTCTTTGGAAAATGCTAATGGTACTCTTTTGGTTGTTAATTGCAGTGCTATTGACTTTTTATTTTTTTTTAAAACTCACGTGAAGTATAAAAATGTCATTCCTCTTCACTTTAATTATAACTTCATAAAGTTGGTTGTAAATTTAGTGAAGAGTTAGGGGCTACTTGGTTAAAGGGTTGGGAATCACAGAATGGAATAAACCTCTTATTTGTTACTTGACTTAAACCTATTGGAATGCAATCTTTGGAATCATTTCTAAAAAATCAGACTTCCTTCATTCTCGAGCAAATTGGGAGGTTTTGAACAAAACTCTCAACTGATTCCCTCAGACAATATTTATGACGGGCATATCTTCTCTTTCTCTCCATCACACGCAACACCTTCTGTTCTTCTTCTTTATCAGATTTCCTCTCTCTTCTTCTTCATCTCTTATCCAAAATTTCTTCTCCGTTGCCTCTGCAATTTTCTTCTCCGTATGCAAGCTTTTCTCTTCCTTCTTCTCTGTTTTTTCAGGCTGCTCATTGGTTAGCTAAAAATAAAAAAGAAAAGAAGGGAATCTGACACAATAACACTAAAACTGGACCAAAATGCTATGCTTTGGACCCATTACCTTCTCACTTTTATTCCACTCACGCTACTCACTGTGTTTTCTTGAATTACGCATTCAATGGAAGCTCAGAAACAAAGGTCAGTCGATTCTTGATATTTTGGTTATTTGATCCGTGAATACTGGTATAATTTGGGTGGGCTTCTGGTTACCTTGTACCTATTTGTAAAATTGTTTGCCTGAATACCTTTCAGTTTCATAGTTATGGGCATTAAATACAAAACCTGCGAGTTTCCCATAAAGAGCTGGTATCTTATGAGCTATTTCTTTTCTTTTTTTTTTTAACTTTCACATATTTAATTTATGTTAAATACAAAATACACTAGTATTCCTTTGGCCGCTATTTAACCAGTTTTTCCTATAAAGAGCTAGTGTGTTTTCTATAAAGAGTTGGTACAAAATATACTACAAAACCTGCCAGTTTTTCATAAAGAGCTGGTATCTTATGCGCTATTTCTTTTTTTTTTTTGACTTTCACATATTTAATTTATAAATATAAAACATACTAGTTTTCATATGGCCACTATTTAACCAATTTTTCCTATAAAGAGTTGGTATGTTTCCCATAAAGAGTTGGTACAAAACATACTACAAAACCTGCTAGTTTTTCATAAAGAGCTGGTATGTTATGTGCTATTTAACCAATTTTTCATATTTAAACAAATTTATGAAAATTAAAATAACGTATTTGAAAGTTGCGTTTTTATTTGGAAGAACGCATTCGCTAGATGTATTTTTCACCCTTTGGGAAGAGACTTAAAAATCGCCACCCTTTAGGAAGTTAATTTAAAAACTCCCTGTTTTTGGGAATTTACACCTTGTTAACGCAGCCACTACATTTATTTTCTGGTATTAATTTTTTTAAAATTTATGATTTTCTTATGTTTTATTAAAAAGTTAATAACTATTGTAGTTACAATTATGGAAATGTTAATTTATCGTATGTGTAATTCTTTTATTTTATAAGAATTGTTATATCAAGGGTAAATTTCAAATTTAATTGCATTTAATTCCGAAACACTCATCAAACCAAGCATCAGGAATTGGAATGATGCTAATTCCAATGTGTGAATCAAACTAGATATTGGAATGAAAAGTTTAATTCCAAAACCAGAGTCTATGATTTCATTTCCATTTCCGACTCCAATCTGTGAAACAAGCAGCCCCTTAGTGTTATTTTATCTAATCTTACATGGTCAAGAGAGGGATTGTCATTAAAAATAAGATTAATCTTCACTGACAGTGTATATACTTTCACCCATAGTTATTAAACCCAACCCGGGAAGGAACCCGGCGAAGGAGGTGGGTCAACGGGTTACTGGTTGAACCGGTGGGTGAGTGGTTGAACCGGTGGGTCACTACATATATTTAAATATTATATTTCATAATTATTTATATAAGATATATGATATAAATTGTAATAAATAATGTCATAACAAAAGCTCATTTAATTTAATTTGTTATAAAATAATTAATTCATATAAGAATCAACCAAATATAAAGTTATTTATTAATATACCAAACTTCAAGTGTAAAATTTTATGTATATTTAGTGTAATTATCTAGCTTATTTATGAATTTTAAGTGTAAAAATTTATTAAAAATAATATTTGTCTTTAAATGAATTATGTAATATGTTATTTTTGGAATCCATTTTATAACTTATAGAGTTTGGAGGGTAATAAATTTTTATTAAAAGATTCCAAATAAATTTGTTTTAGAGAAAAAAAGATAGAATTGAAAAAACATTTATATATCATACTAAAGCTATTATATCAACATATTTAGAAGTGGTTTGGTGGTAAGCAAGCGGTAGTGTGAGGGCAAAGGT